GGAACTGCAATATATTTAATTCCCAAAACTAAAGTCATTTTCAACAGTAACAAACTGTAATATTTCTTCAGTAATATGCTAAAGTCTGAAAAATGTCCTTAATTTGCATAAAGAACATGCAAAATATGGAATAAAGAAATTATAGGAAATGTAAAGTATTTCTAAAGATAATTGATACTTATGCTTATTGTTTGCAAAGTATAAATTGACTTGACCCAAACAAATTTGATATGATTTACTTTTGGACTGTTCGTAAGTTGCAAAAAAACTCATGTTAATATAAATATCTTTTTATGAAAAATACATATAATTCCCAAAACAAAAAAAATAACAAAAAGAATGATACTACCTTATACTTTTGTAAAATCTCTTTACTATTGGGCTTAATAGATTTGTCATCTTGAGAGGCCTTTTTCTTTTCTTTTTTTTTCAGCCTTAGCAAAGATTTATTTTATTGGTTTTTACAAAGAAATGCTTTGGTCTTTATTGATCTTCCATTGTATTATTTTATAGCATATTTTTTGTAAACTTAAAGTCTCATGCTTAGCAGAATGATTTTGAGACTGTCTTCTTTTCATTGTAAGAAGTTAAAAAAATTGATGTCTTCAAAATACTATTTTGATTTCACGTCACAGTTTTGACATGCTGTGTTTTTACTGTTTTAATTATTATCAAACATCCACTATTATTTCTTCTTTGATATGCAAATTATTTAAACTGTTTTAAAATTCACATATATAGGTTTTAAAAATGTATAATTTTGTTATTCATTTGTGACAGTTGAATTATGATGAGAAAATATGATGAGAAAATAAGATAATTATGTTAAATTTCTTAAGATGTGCTTTGTGGCTTACCTTATTGTCTCTTTTTATAAATGTGTTTGAGAAGAATGTGTAGTCCCTAATTATTTGGTGAAGGATTTTATATATGGCCATTAAGATTTTTAATTTTTATTCCTTAAATATTCCATATCTTTATTTGTATTTTGAATTAGAAAAAGAAATTGAGAGGTGTGTAATTCTTTCACTTTGACCACAGTTGGTTATTTTTGTTTCTATGGTTCTAACACTGTTACTTTTTATTAGTTAAGATGCATTTAGTATTTTTCTATAATTTAGTTTTTAAACCTTCCTAGGAATGAAACATTTTGTCTTTATGTAGAGACTCTCTCTCTCCCTAATAACACATTTGCCCTAAGGTCTTTTTTGTCTGATGTTAACACAATCAGCCCTTGGTATCAGTGGGTTCGGCATCCACCAATTCAACCAGCCACGGTTGGAAAGACCTACAATGGTTGCGTCTGTACTGAACGCGAACAGACTATTTTTTCTTTTCGTTATTCCCTTAACAAGAGAGTATAACAACTATTTACATATCATTTACATTGTATTAGGTATTGTAAGTAATCTAGAGATGATTTAAAGTATACAGGAGGATGTGTGTAAATTCTATGTAAATACTACACCATTTTATATAAGGGACTTGAGCGTCCTTAGATTTGGGTGTCTGGTGCAGGTCTTGGAACCAATCCTTTGTGGATACTGAGGGATGACTGTGTATCCACTTCATCTTTATTTTCATTTCCTTTTGCCTGGGTGTCTTTTCTTCATCCTTTTTTTTTTTTTTTCACTATCAACCTTTTTAAGTCCATAGGAGTTTAGCATGCCTCGTGTAAACAACATATAGCAGAATTTGTTCCTTTTTAGCCAAGCTGAAAAATACTGTTTTTTAACTTCCAGTTTAGTCCATTTGCATTTATTGTTTTTTTGCTTGAATTTCTACATTTTTCAATTTTTTTTTCTATTTGTACAACTTATCCTAGTGCCTTTCCATTTCTTGCTGTATTTTGGATAGAGGTTTATAATTGTTAGCTATTCTTACCTATTTCTTTTTTCTTGTATTGGTCTAGAAGTTATATACTGTATTCCTGTTCTTATAGTGGCTACCCTTAACATTTTACTATGCAGGCTTAATAAAGTCTAAAATTTATCTGCATATTACCTTCCCTTCTGAACAACACAGGAACATTATTGTCAATATTTTTGTTGTCCTTTTCTTAATTTTCATTTTTTCAAGCACTATTTATGCGTGTAAATATTTGGATATACCGACATGTTTACCAAATTCTTTGTTCACCATTCCTTCATTTTAGATCTTCCTTCTAGGATCTTTTTGTTTTTCCCCTTGAAACGCATTCTTAGTAGTTTCTGTAGGGGAGGGCTGCTTTGTTTAGCTGAAGATATATTTGCCTGTGTTTTGAGAGAGATTTTGTTGATTTTAGAGTAAGATTATTTTCTCTTAGCTCTTTGAAGAAATTCCAGATCTGCCACTTGCCAGCTCTGTGATGTTGTTCAAGGGTTTTGAAGATAATAATGGTGCCCATTCTGCAGCATGGCTGTGAGTATCAAATATAGGTAATGTGCTTAGTCGAGTTTCTAGCACATATTAAGTTCTAAATAAATAAAAATACTTTTCCATCTTTGTCTTCTTCTTATTATTCTTCTAACTGTCGTTGTTGCCTATGGTGCTCTGCAGTTGACGGAAATTTATTTAAGTGAAGATTTCTTTTTGTGTGCACTATTTGTTTTGCTTGGTGTATATTTTTCTTCCTGAAGCTGTGGTTCTAAGTCTTAAATTTTCTAGTTTCTGTAAATTATCAAGCTTTAACTCATTGAATGTTGCATGTATCTTTTTATACTATTCTCTTCTGAGATTTTGATTGAAAAAATATATTTTTTTATTCTATCATCCCTATTTCTTAACTTATATACTGTTATGGACTGAACGCCTGTGTCCCCCTAAATTCATATGTTGAAGCTATAAGGCCCAATGTGATGGTATAAGGAGGTCGGACCTTTGGGAGATAATTAGATTTATTGGAGGTCATAAGAATAGAGCCTCATGATGAGATTAACGCCCTTACAAGAAAAGGAAGAGACATCAGAGCTTCCTCTCTCTCTGCCAGGTGAGGACAGAGCAAGAAGACAGCTATCTGCAAGAGCCCTTACCAGTAATCAAATTGGCTAACATCTTGATCTTGGACTTTCTAGACTCTAGAACTGGGAAAAAGAAATTTCTGTAGTTTATGACACCAAGTCTATAGTATTTTCACGTAACAGCCCAAGCCAACTGAGACATATACTGTTTGCATTTGCTAGTCTATCTATACTCTAGGAGTGGTAATTTTTTTTTTTTCAGATTTATCTTCCAGTTCACTGGCTCTGTCTTTTGCTGTGTCTAATCTGCTATTTAACTCATCCTCTGATTTCTTTATTTCAATAATTGGATTTTTAAAGTTTCTAAATGCTCTATTTTGTTTCAGATCTGCTGATTTATTTTAATCTTTTCTTGCTTGATAGTTTGTATTTTATCTTTTTCTTTATACATTTCATTCACAGTTATAATTATATGCATTATAATTATCACAACTAGAGCCCTTCAGAGTATAAGTCTTTGTTAATTTCATCACCTCACTGGCAGTCATGTTTTGTTTTCCCTTATGTGTTTGGTAACTTTATTTATTTATTTAATTTTTTAACTTATTTTATTGTAGTAACGTTGGTTTATAACATTATATAGCTTTCAGGTGTACATTGTAATATATTTTGAATTCTGTGTAAATTACGCCTTGAGAACTTCTTCACTCTATAATCCACCTTTCCTGCAGCACCTTTATGCTATTCCTCTCCAGTGGTTGTTTCTCCTCTGCACATAAAAATTTAATTTTCTCAACATAAAAACAAGCAAAAAAAGCAAACAAGCAAAACAATGGTCTTGACCCTGCCATTCCCTCTCTTAGAAATACTGCATGCCATTTCTTCATCATTTATAGCATAACTTCATTCATTCATTCATGTATTTATTCAACCTGGAAACATTTAATGAGCACTTCAGTTGTTCAATCATAATGCTTAATGCTGTAGAATCAGAGAGAGGAAACACAGTTCTCCATCAAAAACACAGGGAAATAACCAGTTCATTATATTCAATGAGAGAAAAGTTAGTAAGAACATGTAGAAGGAGCATGCAATGCAGAAGGATGTGGACAAGATAATGGAATTGAAATTTTCCTGAAGTTAATGTTTTACCAAAAAAACCTAGATGTTTCTGCTCATGTCATTGACACCCACTCATTTCTTAAACTAGCTTTTGTGTCCATCACTTGAAAGCCACTGCTTTTTTTAATGTCTACTAATGACCCAACTGGAAAATCCAATGACTCATCCCCAACCACCCAGCCCTTCAAGATCTTTCACCTCTTGTGATCTAGCTCAAAAGCCCCCTTGTTCCTGACACACTTCCTCCCCCATCATCCAAACTGCATTCCTGGAGCTTTTAATTAATCCAACCAGAAGAATGCTGACCCACATTTTTTATTGTATTATGTTTTCAAAATTGTCTTATCCTGCATCTAAATTTTCATCATTCTGGGGCTATGTCATCCACAGAGCCTAATACACAGCTCCAACACAACACATGCTAAAAAAATTTATGATTTAGTGAATTGACCTAGAAGAATATGGAAGAATTAATCTAGAAAGAGTGCAATGGCAGGTTGTCTCCTCAACTTGAATTATTAAACAATACAAGTAAGTATCTAATTGTGTAGACTCAAATAAGATAATGACATTCAGGCATTTAGATATGCCATTAAAAGTAAAAATAACTCAGGGCTGGCCCTGTGGCGTAGTGGTCAACTCCAGCACGCTCTACTTCGGTGGCCTGGGGTTTATGGGTTTGGATCCCAGGCATGGACCTACACCACTTGTCAAGCCGTGTTGTGGCAGTGACCCACATACAAAATAGAGGAAGATTGGCAGCAGATCTTAGCTCAGAAAAAATCTTCCTCACCAAAAAATAAAAAATAAATAAATAAACAAAAGTAAAAATAACTCAGATACACACACACAAATTATTCACAGAATATACCATTCATAAAAAGAAATTAATTATAATTCATTTTTTAACAAATTACCTTTTTATGTCCTTGCAAATAGTGGCAACAAGTTGGCTACTTCAAGTGGTGACACTACAGTTAAATTATGGGACCTCTCTAACGGCAACTGCATTTTGACCTTGGAAGGACACAACCATGCAGTGTGGTCCTGCACGTGGCACTCCTGTGGTGATTTTGTGGCTTCTTCCTCACTGGATACAACTAGTAAAATCTGGGATGTCAATAGGTAAGAAGTACTTTAAATATTATTAACCCTCTATGTTGACAAATATACATGGGTAATTTTTTTCTCCTCGATGCTACCACTGGGAAATATTAAAAAATACCCCAAACTGTCAGTTGGTAAAATCGCAGAGAGCTACTTAAATAATCTCTGTGAAATCCATTTTTAACTCCATTAATCTTTGTTGATATAATGAGGCCTTTGTAAATGTAGGTCTCAAGATCAAGCCTATGTAATAAGATTAGAATTGCTTCATTGGAAAACTGTTTGTTTTAAGGATAGAAAAAATTCTTATTTTACAGAGTTAGGTTTTCAGTTCTCCCTTCCACAGGATTGCTATCTCTCTATGTTATCAAACTAACAATTTAATAGACATGAATATGACAGAAATAATTACTTGCTTTATGCTTAATTTTGATATAATATTTTCCTCAATTAAATGCTTCTTGGCAATTTACAAATTGTAAGAACTAATGAAATTTACTGTATGCAAAGTCATAAACAATATCATGTGGATGTAGAAGTTTTTGTTTTGATCTTAAGACAGACAAATCTATTATGTTTATAGTGTAAAAATACCTGTCATCCGTGTACTTTTGGATGAATATCACATCCTGTTAGGTATACAGATAGGATGCAGAGAGCTATCAACTATCCTGATTGCTTCAGCTGCTAAGAAATTACAAAGTATCATTCAGACTTCTGATCACTTTAATCATTGAAACAATGCCCAGCTTCCACATATGATTGATATTGGCTCCTAAAGACTTAGATAAACACTTGTCCCTAGCCACTGTAATTTATTTTGTAAGAGAAAGATGGACTCACTTTAAGGTTGGACACTATTGCTTTGGGGTCATGTGTAAAACAAGTAGCTTAAACAGACTTTCTCCATTCTTCCCTAAATCATGAGTAATATATTTAGAAGAGAAGGCAAATAAGGAGCTTGCAAAATGTCAGGTTTTCTGGGAGGCTTCACTGAGAGGGTGTGCTCCTTCCCATGCATAAGTTGATTATCTCCTAAGGCAGGTGCCACTTATTATGCTGTTTTCTCTCAGCACTAAACTCACCATTCTATAACTGTTTTTGTGATGCTACAGCTGGAACTTTGCAAACCACATTTTCTGCATTGCCAGCTGGCTCTCTGTTAGGCTTTGGCAATAGGGTGTGCTTGTAGGTGACTGCAAGGCTGCAGGAGGAAGAAGGGACTAGCTTCTTCCTGTCTCCTTCCATGGGCTTCTTCTGGACTTGCATTTCTACGAGCCTCACCCTAGAACACTTCACCTCAGCTACAGCAGTTTGTTCTCATCACAGCAGCTGACTCCAGTTGGCAGTTTCTCCAACACTTACAGAAACAGCTGCATCATGCCATCATCAAAGACATTAGCTGGACAAACAGGTGCCCCTTTCTCAGCGGTGCGTGTTCCCAGCTCTGCTTGGCCATTTTTCCAAGCTGAGGAACACCAATACCAGCAGACAAGTGCTCCCTCCTCACGGGCTGAGTTTCAGTTCTGCAGCCACCCCTCTTAAAGGTTCTAAGTTTCAATAATTCCACCTTATTCCCTTTGTTCCCTCAGTCCTATGGGTGGTAGCTCTTTCCTGCAGTGGCTTTCTCCATGATACTTTCAAGTTCTCTTTTTCCCTGTTTAGTCATCTGGTTAACTTTATGCATAGCTAACAATCCCATAGTATAATGAATTGTTACTGTTAAAATGATAGGTTCTGTCTCCTGACTGGACCTCGACAGATACAGGGCATTAGTGGGTAAATACCATAATCCACCTGAGTTATGAAGATACAGCTAAATCATGTTTAACGTACTCTGTATGAGAAAACATGGCTCTGAATAATACATTTTAAACCAGTTTGTATCCAGAATAGTACAATTTAAGATACGTTTTAATTCTTGAGTGGGCACCATTTGTTTTTCTGGAATAATCAATCATATGTATTTCTTAATTATTTTTCCTTTTTTTTTTGGTGAGGAAGATTGTCCCTGAGCTAACATCTGTTGCCAGTCTTCCTCTTTCTGTTTGAGCAAGGTTGTCACTGAGCTAAAATCCTTGCCAGTCTTCCCCTATTTTTGTATGTGGGACACCACCTCAGCATGGCCTGATGAACGGCGTGCAGGTCCACGCCCCAGGATCTGAACCCAAGAACCCCAGGCCACCAAAGCACAGCACATGAACCTAATCACTATGCAACCTGGCTGGCCCCCTGTAATTCTTAATTTTCTTATGTGTCTGTATTATGCAGCCTGACTTCATAAATATTTATTATAATAACTTACTGGAATTTTCAAAAATCACTCTATTGAAGTATGATTGACATACAAAAAACTATACATATTTAATGTATATAACTTGATGAGTTTGAGGATAAGTATACACCCATTAAACCATTACCATTCTATTACATAAACATATCCATCACCTCCAAAAGTTCCCCCCTACCCTTGTTATTTATTATTATTATTTGTGATAAGAACACTTAATATAAGATCTAACCTCTTAGAAAATTTTTAAGTATAGAATACAGTGTTGTTAACTATAGATACTGTATATTATACAGTAGATCTGTAGGACTTATTCATCTTAAATAACTAAAAATTTAACACCAGTATCTAATCTTAATTTTTATCACCTTTGGGTTAGATGAGCATCCTAAGAGAAGAGCACAATCTTCTATTGGTCACAGCCCCCTCTAAAATTTAATGTATCTTCAAATGTCTTAATAATTCAGAATGTTTAAACTAAACTGTAGTTAAAAAACTGATTCCCAGTAAACTCAGCCCTACTTAGAATAATTTCAAACGCTTTGACTTTTCTCCCTGCTCTTGATATCTAAATACTGTCTTCCAGTTGATGCCCAGTAGACGGTGGTACAGCAGATCAAAATTGCTCTGACTTATACCAAAAGTATTTGCATCTCACATTTTCCCTCAATGTCCAGAGCTCACCTTCATCAGCAAAGACAAACAATTGTGCCAGTTTTGAAGTTGAGATAGTGGACAAATATTGACAAATAAGGGAGAAATTGATTGTTTCTATTGTGGCTCTTGACACATCTGTCAGAGTCATATCCAAAGCACTGAGCTGTAATTTACGATTACTCATAGATCAATACTTTGTAGATATGTCTAAACTAGCGTTCTGCTTTAAAATTTCATAGGTTATTGGATCTGGCTTAATGATTTAAGGGGAAAGGTTATTTGCTTTGGTAAGATAGTGGTAGAAGTGGAGTATGCTGGGTCATATACTCTTATCCTGATGCCATATAGTTCTAAACAAAAAAAAAAACAAAAACCTTACGTTGATAGACTTACTGTTCACCAGAGAAGGAGTTTAGAGTATACTCTTCTCTTTGACAGGCTGCTCTTCCCTTTGAGCCCCTGGCTCAGCTTGAATATCCTTTAGTTGATGTCATATCCCTCGTCCTGCAACTGTTCCTCAATTGGGCGTTACCCGCCAAGACCATGCAATTAGCTCCTCGCCAGAAAGTTGGATGACTGAGAATCAAAATTAATGTAAAAAATCCACATCAAGAGCCACATTAACTAACAGCTAGTAAGACTCTCTAAACAGCATATGTGGCACTCTTACTCTGGATGTGCTGACACTTTACAAGGTTTCTTTTTTTAGGTGAAAGCAGATTTTTCTTTTTTATTAGGTTAAGCAGAGTTTTATAAATTGTTATAAAGCTCTTTAGTATATTCAAGCTCTTTAGTATAGTTTAGTATTTCATTTTATTGTTAACCAACTGTTCGCAATCTTCTATATTTTACAATCCATTAGATCTTACAATCTGTTATCTTTCCTTTTTTTCTGCAAGGTCTCTATGAATAAGTGACAGTAGTACTTAGATGATCTTCTGAATGATATTTATATGAAGTGAAAATTTATATGTTTCAATTAGTGATCATTGATTTCTACCTTAATTTTCAAATATGTTTATTAAGAAGCAATCTTAAGGCACACATGCACACTGACATACATACAGACACACACATAGAAACACACACACACACATACACACACAATTGCATCCTAAGCAGAGAATTCTTGGCACATGGCAATTTGGTGCATGAATGATAAAGAGAAAATCAACAGGTATCTATGAGTGAAATGCTCTCCTTGCTCCTATCCACATCAGAACTATGATTTAATTGTTCTGTCTTATCCTACATGAATCTATAAAGTGATTAAAATGGGATAGGAAAATCAGAAAAGATCTCAGTCAGCTATAAAAACATGTATTTCTTTAGAGCTCAAGATTACCAATAAGTATTTAAGAAATGACTTAACAGTGTTAGACTGTGTTACAGGCAAAAAATTCTAAGACCTCATTACCGCCTTCAATGAGATTACAAGTAATTTAAAAACACAGCAATTTTGAATCAATCAGAGAATATGCAATGCATCTGCAATTTATAATATGAGGGTATTTTGAACGACTCCTAGTTGCTTTTCTTCCAAGATAGCTGAGTATTTGGCTGAGAGGCTATACCACTTAGTCACTCTGATATTTGGAAAGCAGACCGTGTGCCTGCTTAGCTTGTAGCTTGAGGGGAAAGCATTAGAAATAGCCAAAACATTACTAGGAGTAGCTGCCCTCCTTGGGATGACAAGATATTGTACAGGCAAAATTTGAGTGGTTTATAGCAAAGGTGGAAAGAAATAGAGAGGCTTGTAGAATTCAGTAGCTTCTGGACCCCAAATAGTGGGAGACAAATCTACTGCCCTTATATTCAAATGTATTGTTTCAGATGCCCTCAACATTAAGTTAAATGAGAAAAATAAATCAGATTTAAGAACTATGTTTAGAAAAGTAATTTGTGATTACTGCTGCATTGCACTGACTGGAAGCAAATATATTGGAAACTTCATAAGTTTTTGAGAGAATTGTATTGACAAGGACACTGTGAGCCTGTCCTTAATAACTCCCTGACTCTTCAAAATGTAAATAGTCCTCAGGGCCCAAAATCTACATCCAAAGGAAGGGGA